CCCCCGCCCTGCCCCCCACTGCTCCCAGCCTGCTCATTCTGTATAGTGAAGCAAGTGGTGAAGCTTCATTGCTTGTGAGGGGATGGTGTCCAAGGGCCCAGTGTCCGGACATCTTCCCCCACCCACCCCTGTGACCGTGACAAGGCACAGCCAACCATAGCACACAGGCACAGCAGACTGCCACGTGAGGTAGGGCAGCTTACCACATCTGAAAAGTGGGTACTGAGTGAGAGAATGTGTGAAGCACTTAGGTAGGGTCTGGCATTGGGGGGGGGGGCTTCTAATGTAAGTGTCTGCTCTCCTCGATGGGCATACCTTGATGGGCATACCTCGATGGGCATACCCCAGGCTAGAATGCTGAGCAGCAGAGAAGTCCCACTGGCCCTTACCTCAGTGAGAAAACCACCTGACTCCTGGGCCTCGGGCTCCTCGACTTTCTCTCAGGCGTCTGTGTCTCAGAAGCAGAGGATTAAAAAACGTGGCCCCAGGACTCCACAGAGAGCTGGTTGAGCAGACCTGGCCTTGGTCTGTGGGTTTGTAGCCAGCGAGCTGAGCAGAAACCAGTAGCTTGGAAGGGGTCAGTATCGCTCTTGGGAGCCAGGGAGAGGGCAACCCCTCCGTAGCTGGTCAGGGAGTGGGCGTGGGTTGGTCAGGGGCCGCAGGGAGTGGGAATCGGCGGCAGGACCCTCCTGCTTCCTGGAGAGACCCATGAGAAGACTCTAGGGGCAGACCAGGGCAGGAGGGCTGGGGCACTGTTCCATGTCTCTCTGTTTGGGGGTGGCCTGGTCAGAAGCGGCGTGGGGACAGCTGTGGGTACCCAAGACAGAGGCTGTTCCTAGGAAGGGCGCACGTAACTGTTGCAAAGCAGGTCACCAGGCACCTGGGTGGGGAGCTGGCCACCCTCCCCCGGGACCCACCAGGGTGCAGGGCATCAGCATAGACAGGGACCGGCAGTGCTTTCCTCTTCCAAGGAGACAGAATGGGGGCACAGATACCCAGCCCCCACCATGTGCCCTGTTCCTTTTCTTCTCTCAGCCCTGGGGGGCCCCCTTCTCTGTCACCTCCCTGGCCTACTTCTTCTCCCCTGCTCTCCTTGGCTCCCTGATCTTCCGTGTACCCCATCTGGGTGCCTCTGTAGTAGGACAGCCCATAGGGTCGAGGACCAGCTTATCACCCTGAGCCTCGCTGCACTGGTGGGTAAGGCAGGCAGCCTGATGTGTGTCCTCCAGAGACCCAGGAGCTGGACTTCATACCGACTGGCTTCAGAGGACAGGGCTTGGCTTGAGTGCTCGTGTGGGATGCAAGCATGTCGGCCTGCGCCCCCCCCCCTCCGCTCCTCCTCCTCCTCTGGTTGCTTTATCCTCTTGCAGGAATGTGAGGTCAGGGAGGATCAGGCCTGTTCTATTGCTCCTCTGCTCCTGCCCAGCACCCCAAAAACAGACCCATAAACTCTCAGGGCTGTGGGTCAGTCCTGGGTGTCTGCGCAGGTAGGGTGTGGGAGATACCCAAGGGGAGAGACACCAGTGGCAGACCCTGAAGCAATGGGTAAACCTAGGTGCTCCCCAAATCAGTGATGTCCTCCTCAACCAGTAGCTGTCCTCAAGGTGATGTGACCTAGGCTGTCATCTTGCTGACATGGCTGGGCCTGGGAGTCAAACCATCCAGATACTGGGTCTCTCAGGACCTCTGTGATCCCGGGGGATGGGTCCCAGTGCTGAGGCAGGTCTGCAAGTCCAGCTTTTCAGGCCACCCTGCATTGGCCTGCACATCCATGAGATGCGGCTGTGTGCATGATGCAGGGGCACCAGTGAGGCCCTGGCGGCTGCTTCCCAGAAGCCACGTACAGCCAAGCACCCTTGAGCTGCCGGGGCTGAGGACCGTCGGGGGCGTTGGGTCGCTGGGGCGGGAGGGGCTGAAGCAAGGCAGAGTGAGCGAGGCTCTCAGAAGCCAATAGGAGCCAGGCTTGTCTCCTAACAGCCAATGTGGGAGCGAGGACTCGAAGTGAACAAGTAGCTGCTCAGAAACCCTTCAGGGAGGAGGGACCAGCCTGGGCAGGGCCGGATCTTGTGTATAAAATCACTCGGGAGCTGTGCCCCATCACAGAGCCGAAGTCTTCCACCTGGGCTGCCCACCTCCCTCCAGACCGAGTGACTCAGGTTTTTGTCTGCCCTTTCCGGTTCAGCGAATTCCCTTCCTCGGCAAGATGCCGGAGTGCTGGGATGGGGTGAGTGAGGGTCCTGGGGGGCTTCGGGATGGGCAGGGAGGATGCGGTATCCTTGCGACCTACAGAGGACAAGGTGTCCTCCTGCCCTGACTGGTGACAGCTCTGCCCGGATGCCTGTCTTCCTGGTCTGTTTGGGCCCTGGATGGAGGGCGGGGTAAGAAGGATGATGCCTGGGAAACGCAGTGGACGCACTGACCTCCGTTTGCTGGCTTGTGCTCTCTGCCTCCTGTGTGAACTCTTGGGGTCCCTTCAGCTTGGTGTGTGTTCTGTGAGCCTCTGGCCTGTTCCCAGCGTCTGTTAGGGTTGTACCTGCAGGGTCTGGCCGGTGGGGGATTGCCTTGACGCCGGATAGCTGCAGCAGAGTGAGCGTCATGTCTCCATGACTGTGTGTCCCCAGTGCACTGCAGTGCCCCGCAGAAGGGTGGGAGTCTGGGTCTTCGGGCAGGAGCATCGCAGAAGAGTCCTGGAGAGGCTGCTCTGCTTTATTTTACAGGGTGGGGGAGACAAGACGGGAGCCCTGAGCTGGCAGGGCGTGGAGCCTCAGGACACCTCCTCTTGCCATGGGGGAGGAGCACCAGCTACCCAAGCCCTGTGCTCTTCTTCAAGGAGGGAGATGCAAGGGCAGGTTTACCCCGCACGCATTCCACGCCCCGTCACTCATTCTCCTTTCCTGCCTGGTCCTAATCAGCCTCTGCCCTCCCCTGCAGACCTTGTCTCCCGAATTACCCAGGAAGCCGCTGAAAACAAATCCCACCACATCCACCCTGTTCTGTCCCTCTTCGCCCCAGCCCTCAAGGTCACACTGGTGAGGGGAGACGGACCAGACCTAGCGGGGACCTCAAAGCCCGCTCCCTTGCGCCTGCCGCAATGCATCCCTCTAGCGCCCACCTGGAGGTGGGGGCGGGGGGCTGGGCTCTGACGTCACTGAGAGCCAATGGGAGCACTCTACCCTGGGAATTGAGGGGCTGACAGTCTGCTGGGCGGCGCCCCCTGAGGCATGTTTCCCTCACTCTCATCAGCACCCTGAGGGGTGAGGATACTCAGCTTCTGTCAAGACAACCTGGGTCTGAGTTCTTGGCCCAGGGTTGAGGAGGATGAGGTGGTAAAGAAGTTGTTGGGAGCATTCCGTCAAGGTCACGTATAGTGGCAAGAAATTTGGTCAGCATCACTCCTTAGAGCCCCATGATCTGATCAAAGCCAGCGCTTCCCCACCTGGGAACTGAACCTTCCATCCTTCACAAGGCCAATGCTGTGACTGATGGTATCTGCCCAGAGATAAGGACTTGGGCAGCCACGTCAGGGTTGGGAAGGGCCGTGCAGACTACCTTGGTAGCAGAGGGCAGATACCCCTCACACACCCCTAGGGGCCGATTTTGGAGAATTCCTAGGTCCCTGTGTCCTTGCAGAACAAGATGGGACCCACCGCAGCAGAGAACTGCCCCTTTGCTGGCTGTGTGGTGTCCTTACACTGTGCACCTCACGCTCCATCCCTTCCTCTAGAGCTGAGAGAACAGTGGGGTGACCGTAGCAGGGACCCCAGAGGGGGAAAGCAGCTGGCTGGGGTGGGGGACAGCCTGCTTTCGGGGTAGGCCCCTTGGGCGGACCTCAGTCTCCCCCTCAGAAAATGCTTTCTCTTGGGGCCAGGCCACAGCCCTGAGCTGGCATCTTGTCAACCCTGGGCTCGACCTTGGGCAAGTCGGTCATCCTTTCTGGGCCTGTGTCTTCCTGGAGAGCAAGCTGTAGAGGGCTGGGGTCCAGTGAGGAATAAAGGAGATGTCACGTGTCAAGCACCAGTGAGTGAGCAGGAGGCTTTTCTTGGTCAAATGGGTCCTGAGGGAGGACAGCCCTGGATGGAAGGCTCTGTTGGGCTTGGGCCTCACTGAGGACCACAGGGCGAGACTCAGGCCTCCCAGCAGAGTGTGAATCCAGAGTACAGCCTATGGTCATGGGATTATCACCGCATTTCCTTCTGAAGACCAGTCTGAACAGTAGACCTCTGATACCACACCCAAAAAAAGCCAGTCTGTGGGAAACCGGCTTTGTCATGCACATCTCCCTTTTGGGAAACCGGTGTCCCTGGCTAGATTCCCTCTGTCTTGAGTGGCAGATAGGAAACTCGATACACAGTCAGTGCTCAGTCACTTGCTGTTTCTCTCCTGTTGGGGACCGTAACACCAGCTCCGCCTCTGGGCTACTGGCAGTGGTATCAGAAGCCCTGTGGTAGAGGGCAGGGTATGTTCAACTCTGACCAGTGTGTTGGATTTCCTCATTGAGAGCCCAGGAATGACTGTTTGCAAAGAGGCCAATCCACAGGGTATCCCCTCAAGGTTCGGGGTGCCAGCTGCAGCAGCTCCCTTCTCTGGGCCATGTCTACATACTGTAGCTCCCACAAAGCCTCTGTGGATGATTTGAGAAGCTGTCGGTCCTGCTCGGAGTCACATAGAACCAGGTCCCCCTGAAGGCCTGAGCAGCAAAGCCAAGGGACCAAGGTGTGGGACCTGGGAATAGGGACTGCGGAAAACCTTGGAGGCAAGCATGGCTAGCCCAGTTCTGCCTGGAGAAGGCCGTGGAGATGTGTACCACAGGGCAGGGGATTTGAGGGAGCAGGAATGGGGACAGATGTGTAGCTGACGTGGAAACATTTGCTGTGGGTTCTAGGTGGGGTGGCAGAGGCCAT